TTTGTGTGTGAGAGAGAAGAGAGCAAGCTTTCTGGTGTCACTTCTTATAAGGACACTAATCCTACTGATCAGGACCCCAACCTTATGGCCTCATTTAACCTTAATTACTTCTGTAAAGGCCCTATCTCCAAATACAATCACACTGGGTGTTAGGGATTCAACGTACAAATTTGGGGACAGGCACAACACTTCAGTTCATAACATATATACTCTTTTATTTCCTGTAATTATAAATGAAGACACTTAGGCTAAGTGAGGTTAAGTAACTTGTCCAAGGTCATATAGCATGTAAATCGTCAGAGCTGAAACGATTTCAGAACTGACCCATGACAGAGCCCCAATAACTAAGAATTTTTAAAAAGTATGGCTACTAGTTCAATACAAAGCCCATAGATTAATATGTGATTACTAGGGTTATTTTCTTATTATGATTATCATCCCCATTTCAGGTGCAGAAAAAAGACCCCAAGGACTGGGCTGTGCAGTACCGCGAGGCAGTGGAGATGGAAGTCCAAGCTGCAGCTGTGGCTGTGGCTGAGGCTGAAGCCAGGGCTGAGGCAAGAGCCCAAATGGGGATTGGAGAGGAAGCTGTGGCTGGGCCCTGGAATTGGGATGACATGGATATCGACTGCCTAACAAGGGAAGAGTTAGGCGATGATGCTCAGGCCTGGAGCAGATTTTCATTTGAAATTGAGGCCAGAGCCCAAGAAAATGCAGATGCCAGCACCAGCGTCAACTTCAGCAGAGGAGCTGGTACCAGGGCTGGCTTCAGCGACGGTGCTAGTATTAGCTTCAATGGTGCACCCAGCTCCAGTGGTGGACCTGGCATTACCTTTGGTGGTGCACCCAGCTCCAGTGCCAGCTTCAGCAATACAGCCAGCATTAGCTTTGGTGGCACACTGAGCACTAGCTCCAGCTTCAGCAGTGCAGCCAGCATTAGCTTTGGTGGTGCACCCAGCACCAGCACTAGTTTCAGCAGTGAAGCCAGCATTAGCTTTGGTGGCACGCCTTGTACCAGTGCCAGCTTTAGTGGTGGAGTCAGCTCTAGTTTTAGTGGCCCACTCAACACCAGTGCCACTTTTAGTGGTGCAGCCAGCTCTGGCTTTGGAGGCACACTCAGCACCACGGCTGGCTTTAGTAGTGTACTCAGCACCAGCACCAGCTTTGGCAGTGCACCCACAACGAACACAGTCTTCAGTAGTGCGCTTAGCACCAGCACTGGCTTTGGAGGCACACTCAGCACCAGTGTCTGCTTTGGTGGTTCTCCCAGCTCCAGTGGTAGCTTTGGTGGTACACTCAGTACCAGTATCTGCTTTGGTGGCTCTCCCTGCACCAGCACTGGCTTTGGAGGCACACTCAGCACCAGTGTCTCCTTTGGTGGCCCTTCCAGCACCAGTGCCAATTGTGGTGGTACACTAAGTACCAGCATCTGCTTTGATGGCTCTCCCAGCACTGGTGCTGGCTTTGGTGGTGCTCTCAACACCAGTGCCAGCTTTGGCAGTGTGCTCAACACCAGTGCTGGTTTTGGTGGTGCTATGAGCACCAGTGCTGACTTTGGCAGTACACTAAGCACCAGTGTCTGCTTTGGTGGCTCTCCTGGCACCAGTGTCAGCTTTGGCGGTGCGCTCAACACCAGTGCTGGTTTTGGTGGTGCTGTCAGCACCAGCACTGACTTTGGTGGTACACTAAGCACCAGCGTCTGTTTTGGTGGCTCTCCCAGCACCAGTGCTGGCTTTAGTGGTGCACTCAACACCAATGCCAGCTTTGGCTGTGCCATCAGCACCAGTGCCGGCTTCAGTGGTGCTGTCGGCACCAGTGCTGGCTTCAGTGGTGTACCCAGCACCAACCCTGGCTTTGGCGGTGCATTTAACACCAGTGCTGGCTTCGGTGGGGCACTTAGTACCACTACTGACTTCGGTGGTACTCCCAACAACAGCATTGGCTTTGGTGCTGCTCCCAGCACCAGTGTCAGCTTTGGTGGTGCTCATAGCACCAGCCTCTGTTTTGGTGGAGCTCCCAGCACCAGCCTTTGCTTTGGCAGTGCATCTAATACAAACCTATGCTTTGGTGGCCCTCCTAGCACCAGTGCCTGCTTTAGTGGTGCTACCAGCCCTAGTTTTGGTGATGGACCCAGCACCAGTACCGGTTTCAGCTTTGGCAACGGGTTAAGCACCAGTGCTGGATTTGGTGGTGGACTGAACACCAGTGCTGGCTTTGGTGGTGGCCTAGGCACCAGTGCTGGCTTCAGTGGTGATCTAAGCACCAGTTCTGGCTTTGATGGTGGGCTAGGTACCAGCGCTGGCTTCAGTGGAGGACCAGGCACCAGCACTGGCTTTGGTGGTGGACTGGGCACCAGTGCTGGCTTCAGTGGCGGACTGGGCACCGGTGCTGGCTTTGGTGGTGGACTGGTCACTAGTGATGGCTTTGGTGGTGGACTGGGCACCAATGCTAGTTTTGGCAGCACACTTGGCACCGGTGCTGGCTTTAGCAGTGGCCTTAGCACCAGCGATGGCTTTGGCAGTAGGCCTAATGCCAGCTTCGACAGAGGACTGAGTACCATCATTGGCTTTGGCAGTGGTTCCAACACCAGCACTGGCTTTATTGGCGAACCCAGAACCAGCACGGGCTTCAATAGTGGACCCAGTTCTATTGTTGGCTTCAGTGGTGGACCAAGCACTGGTGTTGGCTTCTGCAGTGGACCAAGCATCAGTGGCTTCAGCGGTGGACCGAGCACAGGAGCTGGCTTCGGCGGTGGACCAAACACTGGTGCTGGCTTTGGTGGTGGACCAAGCACCAGTGCTGGCTTCGGCAGTGGAGCCACCAGTCTTGGTGCCTGTGGCTTCTCCTATGGCTAGTGAGGTTTCAGGTAACTGCAATATTTCCATAGCCAGGACCCACAGGGATGGGTATAAGAGCTGGGAGATGTTATAAGAAACACTAAGGCAGGAGAGTGGGTTGGAAAGGTGAGGGCAATGAAGGAATTAAGAGAAGACAGTGCATTTGGTGCTAAAATGTGTTCCTATTTGTTTTGTTTTCAGATTTATTCCCCATGTTTACAGACACCGCTAATAAATTGCAGTAGTCCTTCCCATGGAGCCAAAGTACATCCTTGGAATCTTTGTCCACACAGCAGTCAAAGCAGCTACGGCCAATCAGCTGAGGGTGTCATGTGATGGAAAAATCTGTTTGCTGTTTCTGCTTTATTGTTTGCTTTCTGTGTGCTGTCATATTTTGGTATCAGAGTTACATTAAATTTGCAAAATGAATTGGAGTTTTTTCTGTCTTTTAATGTGCTTAGGTAGTTGTGGAGTGGCATCTTGGGTTCACAGAAGAGCTGGAGATCAGCATAGCTCTTTGGAGAAAATGGGGCTCCAGCTTTTGGCTCAAAGGCAAATATGACTTCAGCAGGATAGAGGCCTGGGGAAAGCATGGCAGGCAAGAGGATAACAGCTTGAGGAAAGATATGGAGAGGGAAAGCCTGGAGCAGAAGGCAAAGGGAGAGGCTTCTGGACAGTAAGTACAGATTCATTTTGAATCACTGGTGTAAGAATGGAGGGAAGGGCAGAGGTCACTAGGGGTGGACATAAGAACAAAGGAGGGTTTAATTGGGATAGGAGAGGAAAACTTGGGCATATTGTATAGACTGTGGGGCAAAAGCTAATAGGGACAGGAGATCGATATGGAAGAGTCAGGAATTGACTGAAGTAGCCCATCCCTGAGAAGGTGGGATGGAATAGGGTACCAGAGAAGACGACCCTGACTTTGAACAGACTTAAGGGTGGCTGTGGATGCAGATAAATATAGATCTGCTTCAAGCAGGGATCGGCAACTTCTGTAGTAGACAACAACAACAAAAAACGGAGAGGTGGATTCTGCAGGGTTTAGGTCTTGCTGGGTGGTTGTGATGGAAGAACAAGGGAACAAAGGCAGCAAGTGTATGAGTGTCTCTTTACCACTGGGTCACTGGTACCTGGCTTATGGTAGTTGCATGGAGAGTGGCTGAAGAGATGGCCCACAGTATCCAACATAGTTAGGGACAGAACACTAAGGATAGATTGGGGGACAATAGAGCATTCAAAGGACTCTGCTCTTGATGCTGTACAGCAACAAATATTGTTCATTCAAAAAATACTACAGGGCTGGGCACAGTGGCTCATGTCTGTAATCCCAGCACTTTGGGAGAGGCCAAGATGGGAGGATCACTTGAGCCCAGGAGTTCAAGACCAGTTTGGATAACCTCGTCTCTACAAAATAATTGAAAATTAGCCGGGCATGGTGGTGTGCACCTGTGGTCCCAGCTACTTGTGACAGAGGCTGGGGTGGGAGGATCGCATAAGCCCAGGAGTTCGGGGCTGCAGTGAGCTGAGATTGCACCACTGCACTTCAGCCTGGGTGACAGAGTGAGACCCTGTCTCAAAAAAAAAAAAAAAAAAAAGAAAAAAAAAAAGAAGGAAATATTACATATATGCCTACTGTATGGAGGCATACTGCTAGGGATTCAGTGGATGATATAGAGTTGTAAGGACTGGGGTAGTGGGTGGGCAGTGGTCAGACAGTTGGATGCTTGCATTTAAGAAGTCAGACCAGGGAGATGATACCAAAATCCATGGAGTAGGTGGTTGAAGGAGAGAAGATGAGTTGAGGGGGTCAGGGGACTGTGAGTTCAGAGTATTGGTTGGATCATTCACATAAACAGTGAAATCACTCAGGATGGCAGCAAGAGTTGGAGAAGAAAGGAACACTTGGCTCAAGTGCCAGATTCTTCTCTTGAGTGTAAAGGATGAAAGTGTCATGCCCACAGCCAGCTTGCTGGAACAAGGCCCACAGGAACTCACAGGCACCTATCTTCTCCCCCATCTTTGGAGGTGCTACTGTAGAACTTTTCCCTCCAGGAAATCCTTACCTGTTCCATGCCCTCATAGCAGCAGAGCTGGGTCAGGATTAGGATCAGTACCTTGAGAACAATTGGAAAAGCCTCGCCATGACCTCCTCCTCTCCTCTTGTAGGCAGTAAGTCTTTATTCGTCAGAGAATAAGAATTAAGAAAGAAAGTTTCATCCAGAGCTAGATAGCTCCTTAGTTGCGGCCAGTAAGTGAGGCTTGTTTGGGAGTTGCGGAGGACTTCTTCACTGGTGGTGGAGTACCTCAGTGAGGCCAAGGCAGAGTAGGAGAAGAGCAAGGATAGCATTTCCTAAAGGTGGAAGGCGATGAGGACACTTTCTTGGAAAGGGCTCAGTAGTGGGCAGGGACAGTATCCAGGGCTTCCTCAGGTTCCCGGGTGATGTCCACATTCTGAGGAGAGAGCACAGGATCAATAGGAAGGAGACAGCAGTGCAGGGCCCCAACCTCCCCCCTGCCTCTTGTCCTCATTGCCAGGCTCCCCTCTTTCAGCCAGGCTCAGATCCTGGCCCTCAGGTAGGCCTGGGGGAATCTCAGCCTGAGGCCTTTTTGGCAGGAATTGCCCCAGCCCTGCATCTCCATAGTGCCTTGGGTCTGGGCTGTGGTTTCCACATTTCTGGGTGCTGGTTGCTCCCTCTGTTGGTGCAAAACACGCAGGTTTCGTGGGGTTGGTGCAGCCTTTCTGTGGATGAGGTGCTTTCACCATGTGCTGTGTCCACAGCCAGCTTGGGCCATGGAGTCCCCCACCTACCTCAGGCTTCTCCCGGTGTGTGTTCACGGCTTCCACATTCAGGTAGATGGACTCCACTTTGCAGCCTTGGAAAAGAACAATCCATCTGTCCATAAGCCCCCAAGGTAGGCACAGGTCTTCCCTGAGGTATCACCTCCCCCGCATCACCAGCCACACCCCCAGCTTCATACTGTGTACAGATCATGACTCGCCTGTACAGAGGAGAATTTAGACAGCAGTGTGATGTGTGGGGAAGACACCAGGCCTAAGAGGCAGCCAACAGGGCTGTCACCTCTGCCCCTAATAGTCTTAGTTCTGTGAGCTTCAGTTGCTCATTTGTAAATGGGGATGGAGATGAGAGATGAACTCTGGCTGCCCACAGCTCTCGAGGTCCGCAGGACATCAGTCTCATCTGTGTAATATTGATGTAGCTCTGCGGATCCTCCAAGCCGTGTTAGGTGGTGAAGAGGTGGAAGAGTCCTGGGGCCACTGCCTTGGGCGATCAGTGCCAGGCAAAGTTTATCTGGAGGACAGTGTGGTTGTGGCAATACCAGGAGTATGGAAGGTCACGTGGGAGTTCTAGGGAACCTGAAGACGGAGGAGGGTGCATCACTGGGGCTTGGGGCTGACAGAGGGGGCCTAATGCCTGTGGAAGCTCCCTTAGCTTCATCCCTGTGGACTGCACCTTACTCCAGGCTTCAGTAGGTCATCTGCCCTGTTTGCACCCCGGAATAGATTTGATTCTGTCCCTCCCCTGTTCATGAACCTTTCATAGCTAATGTACCAAGAAAGAGCCTAAACTGCCCAGGCTGGTCTTTGTGCTCTTTCTCCAATACAGCCCTAACCTACAATTTTCCTCTGGTCCCCTTTGGGGAATCCCCTTCCACAGCTTGGTGCTCTGTGCTGGGCGCTCTGGCAGAGACACAGAAAGTCAGCGCCATCCCCAGATTTAGAAGCCATCCTACTCTTTCCCTGTTATCCTACTACCATCAGTCCCACCCCCACCACCCACCCAGGGAACCTCCTGCAGGACACCCACCCAGGAAACCTCCTGCAGGACTCTTCTTGGCAAATGGTAGGCATTAGGGCCATGCTCATAGCCTCTAAATGCCTGTCCTTGAATCAGGGTGGGAGTACTTACCATAAGCCACAGGAGTGAGTTTCAGCACTGTGTGCAGAGGGCACTTGAGATATGGAAGCTCATCTAGAAAGGAACGGGAAGCAGCCCTCAGAGGCAGGGTGCTAGCCAGGACACAGCCTCTCCAGGCCCCCAGGCTTGCTGGATGTTCCCCGTTTCATGTCCCCTTGCCATGGTGGGGCCTCACCAGGGGCCTACACCCCCCAACCCTGCAGGGGCAGTGCTCAGAGCAGCTGGGAAGAGAGGAGGAGAGCAGGGAGGCAGGAATGCCCTGGAAAATGGTGGTAGACTGGATTGCGTGTCCTGCAGGAGGGTCAGGCCGGCCACCCTGGAGACGGCCACCACCTCACAGGGCCAACAAGAGACCCAGGCAGGCTTCTCTCCCGCCCCAAGTCTGGGGCCTTCCGCAGACCCCACACCACAAAGGCCCACAGTTCACATCAGCAAGTGTTTTCTGAGGCCCTGCTGTGGCAGTGGACAGCACCCACAGCCTTCTCCCAGCCTGGCCTGCTCCCTCTGATCACTCCTGCCCCAGGCCTGGTGATGGACGAGCATTTGTCCATCACTTGTATCCAGTTATTGACATTATGCATAAAGTTGTTCTGAATATTCATGTGCAATTTCTTGTCTGGGCCTATGATTCCATTTCTTGGGCAAGCCCGAGAGGTGGGGGCAGTAAGCCCATTTCATGGTCTCAGCCAACTGAGGCTCTGAGAGGGAAAATGCTCTCTGCAAGTCACACAGCCAGGAAGCAGCAGAGCAAGGACTTGAATCTGGGACCCTGTGACACCAGAATTCATGCACTGGCCCCTGCTGTCAACTGCTCTGGCCATCCAGGAGCTCGCAGTGTCCTGGGGGTGATACACCCACCTGCTAGGCAATCTCTCCTGATACCCACTTTCCCGCCCACCTGCACAGAACACTCCCCATTTCCCTTCATTTTGCAGGATCACCACCCCTCATGGCTTCCCTGAACAGCAGGTTCCACCCTAGGTTTCTGAGGCCTGCCACTGTCCTCCCAGCCTCCTGAGACATTAGGTTGGCTGTTTTCCTTCCTGGGCATCCATCCTGCTGCTCCTCCTTGTTTTTGTCATCATCAGGCCCTGGGCCAAGGGTGTTTTGCCCACTACCTCATGACACCCTTAAAGATAGACTGAGGTACTACTGTACACCCTCCTTATACACTTTAGGAAACAGACTCAGAGAAGGGAAGTGACTTGCCTGAGATCTCTGACCCAGCTCTGCCACTGCCTCTAGTAGTGACCTTGGCCCAGCCTCTGCTCTCTCTGGTATTCAGTGTTCCCATTTCATAGGACAGGATTGGACTAGATGTACTCTGAGGGTGCCCAAGCCCTGAGGTTCTGTGGGTCTGTATTCTCAGTCACATAATCTCTCTGGGCCTTTTTCCAGCATTCACCTGAGTAATAGGGTGGGTGGGGTGGGGGGGGGGGGGTGAGAACATCTGTCCAGTGCTGCCTTGTCTGGCTCCCAGGACAGGTAGCCTGTGTGTAAAAAGCACTCTACTCATATCTGAAAGGGGAAGTCCCCTGGCATGTACCTGGGATCCATGTCTATCCCTGACACTCTGAGCCCCATGACCTTGTGCCAGTCACTTCACCTCTCTGGGTCTCCCTTTCCTCATCTGGACAATGGGAGTTACAGCACCTGCCTCATGGTCTCAAAACATTGCCTCAAAAAGTAGAGATGCGAACACAGAGAAATCTACCAGTGCAAGGACCCGCACCGCACATCCTATCACCTATTTCCAGTGAGGAAACTGAGGACTGGGCAGAGGAAATTCCTTATTTAATGTCAAGTTCTCAAGTGCCCTGGGTTCCAGTTCTGGATGACTCCATATTACAGTGTTCTTTATTTTCAAACCAGCATTGTAGAAAAGATCCAAGACTGTAAAACATTGTAGACATTGAATATAATTTTGCATTGTTCTGAGACACCTTAAAAATATCCTGGAAATGCTAACATTTCAGCATCCACATTGGAAATGGAATCTCATGCCTGAAAGTGATATAACAGTTTTTTTTTGCCAGGCCAGCTGCCCCAGTTTGCAGTTCAGCCTATGTAGTCAGTGTGTAAATACTGTATAAATGCAATGCCTAGATATTTTTTAAAAATAAACTATCATTTGAAAAACAATTTAAAATGAAAACATCACTATCTTGGGGAAATTACCCCTATAGCAAGGACAGAAACTTGTAATCAGGATCATGAAACTACGAAAGGCCCCACTATCACCTGATGGTAGCATGCTTCAGAGAAATACTAGCTCATCTTTTCCAGATTGACGCAGACTGTTAACGTTGGCTTTGAAAATGTTAGCTAAGAACAATACTAATAATAGCAGTTAACATATAGCCCATATAGTGTGTCATGATCTGTTCTAAATTTTTTACTTATGTTACTTAAAATTCATTGTTATTCTCCCCATTTTACACATGAGGCCACTGAGGCCAGAGAGGTTAAAGTAATTTGGGAAAGGCAGTACAGCTAGTATGTGAAAGAGAAAGAATCTGAACCTAGGCATCCTTGTTCTAAATACTCTTCTCTTAACTACTAAGATATAGATATCTAATTGCTGGTGTCAGTGTCTCAAATACCATCAAACTTCCCCAAAACAGAGATGAGGGTAGTACCTGAACTTTTATCCAGGAAATAGGCCAGGAGGCACCGCATGACGGCCTGGTGGCAGATCACCAGTACATTCTCCTGTCGTTCTAGCTCCATTATCACTGGCTCCAGACGCTGAACCAGATCCTCATAGGACTAAATGTAAGAGAGATATTTGAGTGAGAAAGGGAGATGAGGCACATTTGCCCAGAGGGGAAGAACTCTAAACTAGGAATCAAGAACATTTGGTTCCAGTGCCAGTTCAATTGTTGACCCGGCAGTATGACCTTAGGCAACTCACTTCCTTCTTAGGGTCTTAGTTTCATTATCTGCTAAATGGGGGCTATCAATATAGTGGACTAAATAAGTGTACCAATACAGTGGACTAAATAACAATAACAACAATAAAACTCCCCACTGCAAATTGTCTTCTTAAGTGCACTTCTGACCTTTCACAAAAATAAAGAAAATTTTATAAATATAGGGCCCCAAAATGAAGAAAAACTGAAAAAAAAAGTGATGTGGATGTAGAAGCCACAGCTGCCCTGGGGGCATTTGCCAATCATAGTAACTAAGAGTTTTGAGTTTTAAAAACCTTATAGAAGTAGAAGACAAGGCCTTGGGTGTGCACAAGGTGGGGAGTTGAGACTGAGACTCTCACATAAATCTGAGACCCTCAAAGGCCAAATCTTTACACTCTCAGCAAAAGTGCAAACTAGAAAAAGTTCCTTAACAAGCAAAAAGAAACAACAAGAAAATGTGTCTGTCTCTCCTTGGCTCTCAGGGGAAATAAGTGAAAATCCTCCTGTAAGAATTTATAACCACCAGACTTCCCTCAGGTGAGCTGGTGATTCAGAGCTACACTACCCATGTGATTTGAATAATGTTATGCTGAGAGTTTAATAAAAAGTGATCCCAAGTCGTTAGCTCCCAGGACTGCTTAGAAGAAGCAAACGGAAATCTCTCTGGATTCTCTTAACTCAGGCTGTGTGAGATTCCCATAGATAAATTCTTGCCAAGCTGGAGCTCATATAACACACAAGGAAATAAGCTACCATGAGTGAGAATAAGCAGAAACAAGAAGAGAACCCTAAAAACTTAAGATAAGGGATGCCACAATATAAAATAAATATGTTTGAAACTTTTAAAGAAATAAAGAGTGGAATAAAAAATGTAAGGAAGAAACAAGATGTTATCAAAAATGCAATGTAGATTTGAAAAAGAACTAAATAGAATTTCAGAAATAAAAAAATAGTCATTAAAATTGAAAACTCAGTGGATGGGGTAAGGAGCATATTAGATACTACTTAAGAAATAGTGACTGGAAGATAAAGCTGAAGAAATTACTCAGGATGCAGCAAAAGATACAAAGAGATAGAAAATAGGAAGGAAAAGTTAGGAGACATGAAGAATAGAGGCAGGAGTAACATACATCCAATTGTATTTCCAGAGGAAGATAATAGAATGTGAGAGATGAATTTTTAAAGATAAAATGTCTGAGAGTTTTCCAGACTTGATGAAGAATCCCAAGCCTCAGATTCGGGAAGTCTCACTAATCCCAAGCAATATATTAATAAATGAAAAGAAATTAACATCTAGACATATTAGAAGGAAACTTTAAAGCAACAATGATACAAAAACCTTAAAAGTAGCCAGAGAGAAAAGAAAACTAGACTGACAGCAGATTTCCTAGCCACAGTAGAAGCCAGAAGACAGTGAGGGTAATACTTTCAAAGTGCTGAGAGAAAACAACTGTCAACCTAGAGTTTTTACCCAGCCAAGCATCACTAGGATTGAGGACCCCCTCCTACCAAGACATTTTTAAACAAAAAGAAGGGTGTGTTTACTCACTAAAAAAGCTTCTAAAGAAGATGGAAGGCCGGGCACAGTGGCTCACGCCTGTAATCCTAGCACTTTGGGAGGCTGAGGTGGGTGGATCACGAGGTCAGGAGATTGAGAACATCCTGGCTAACACGGTGATACCCCATCTCTACTAAAAATACAAAAAAATTAGCCAGGTGTGGTGGCAGGCGCCTGTAGTCCCAGCTACTCAGAAGGCAGAGGCAGGAGAATGGCGTGAACCCGGGAGGCGGAGCTTGCAGCGAGCCGAGATCACACCACTGCACTCCAGCCTGGGCGAAAGTGCAAGACTCCATCTCAAAAAAATAAATAAATAAATAAATAAATAAAATAAATATAGTCATGCTGCTATAAAGACACATGCACATGTATGTTTATTGCGGCACTATTCACAATAGCAAAGACTTGGAATCAACCCAAATGTCCATCAGTGACAGACTGGATTAAGAAAATGTGGCACATATACATCATGGAATACTATGCAGCCATAAAAAAGGATGAGTTTGTGTCCTTTGTAGGGACATGGATGCAGCTGGAAACCATCATTCTCAGCAAACCATCGCAAGAACAGAAAACCAAATACCGCATGTTCTCACTCATAGGTGGGAACTGAATAATGAGATCACTTGGACACAGGAAGGGGAACATCACACACTGGGTCCTATTGTGGGGATGGGGGGGGAGGGATAGCATTAGGAGATATACCTAATGTAAATGACGAGTTAATGGATGCAGCACACCAACATGGCACATGTATACGTATGTAACAAACCTGCATGTTGTGCACATGTACCCTAGAACTTAAATAAAAAAAGGAAATTATTATATCAAAGAGACATCTGCACTCCCATGTTTATTGCACTATTCATAATAGCCAAGACATGGAATCAACCTTAGGTGTCCAACAACAGATGACTAGATAAAGCAAAATTTGGTATATACACTCAATGGAATATTACTGAGCCATAAAAGAGCAATGAAATCCTGTCATTCTCAGCACCACGAATGGAACTGGAAGACATTATGTTAAGTGAAATAAGACAGGAACAGGAAGTTAAACACCACATGTTCTCATTCATATATGGAAGCTAAAAAAAAGTTGATCTCATAGAGGTAAAAAGTAGACCAGAGGATACTGGAGGCTGAGATGGGTAAGGGTTGGGGGGAAAAAAGAGATTTGTTAAAGGGTATAAAATTAGAACTAGACAGAAAGAATATAATATGGTGTTCTATAGCACTGTAGGGTGACTATAGTTTATGTTATAAGTTTCAAATAGTTAGAAGGAGGACATTGAATGTTCCCAACACAAAGAAATGATAAATGTTTGAGATCATGGATATGCTAATTACCCTGATGTGATTACTATACACTATATGTATCAAAACATCACTATGTACCTCCATAAACATGTAGGATTGTTATGTGTCAATTTTTTAAAGTAAATTAAATTAAATTTTTAAATGGGAGGGATATTAAACTAATAAATTAGAAAAATTACCAAAAAAAAGAAAGTGCAAGACTCCATCTCAAAAATAAAATAAAATAAAATAAAATAAATGAATAAATAAATAAAAATAAAAATAAAAAAGAAAGATGGAAAATGAACTCAGAGGGAAGATTTGAGGTGCAAGGGGCAAGAATGATCAGAGGAATTGGTAAACATGTGGTTAAATCTAAATAAACATTGACTGCATACAATAATAACGACAACAGTAATAATTCACTTGGGGGTTAAGACCAAGTTTGACCTAAAATACAAACAACATGTAAATTAGGAGACACAGTGGCCAGAGTTTTAAAGTTCTTCTGTTGTTTAGGTTGAGGGTGGAGATATTGATTTTAGATTTTGTTAATAATGAATATGAAAATGTTAAGGGTTCGAGTTGGTTGCATAATAGCACTCAGCAAACAATTATTATGAGTGGTCTTGAAATACATTTTGACCTTACATCCTTATTGAGATATCAACTAAAAATGGAAAGAATCACGATGAAAAATTTTTTAAATGTTAAGGGTAATCTCTAAATGAATGGAAACAAATTATATAACTTAAATATGGATATAAAAACTTTATCAATCCTAAAGAGGGCAGGAAAAGAGAAAAAACTAAGCAGAGAACTTAAGACAAGATAATAGTAATAAACTAAAAAAGTTAGTAATTACAATAAAAGTGAATATACCAAACTTACCATTCAAAAGACATATATTTTCAGTTTGGATTAAAAACAACGAAACCCAACTGTAAGTCGTTTATAAGAGACACAAAACAAAGATACAGAGGGAAGTTGAAAGTAAATGAATAGCTAAAAGTGAACTAGGTAAGTAGTCACCAGAAGTCACTGAATCTTGTACAGCTATATTAATGTCAGATAAAATACGTTTTTAGGCAAAAAGGATTATCGGGAAGAAAGAGGTTTGGTCCTATGTAATGATAAAATGTGCAATTCATTGAGAAAATATAATTGCTTTAATATTGTATACCTCCAATAACACAGCCTCTAAATACCTAAAGGAAAATGAGGTCAAATTAAGATGAATTTTATAATGTCATCTCTGAGGGTGAAGAGAAAAAATGTGAAAGTGTTGTATAACTGAATAGAATATCTATTGTTTAATCTTCCCAGATGTCCTTCTTTTCTAATTACTTTTCCCAGCAATTTATATTAGAAATAAAGTGTGACTAATAAATGCTCTAAAATGTGGAACTGGCTAAGTGGAGGCTTGATCAAATGCAATGAGCATTCATCTCATATGGGGATAGGGAACTGATGGTCTGTTTCATGTAGTGGCAAAGAAGTTGATTAAATTATTAGCCATTGTCTCTTGGGACAATGCCAACTGCCCAGAGAGGCTGGAGCTTTAGGCAACTTGGCAACAAAATATCAGGAAATCAGAGTATGTTGAACTATTTAAAGTGTCTTCATGAAGGGATACCAGAGACAAGGTCCAGGATAAAGTGAGCACTTCTGAAGCAGAAAGAGAATAAGCAAGAAAATTATGTAGCTTTTAAAAGAAAGGGATGGATCTGTTGCCTATAGCCAAGAATCTAAAACAACCAAGGGCCAGATAATCATGTGCCTTGTGGGATGGCAGCTGCTGCAAGATATGCTTACTCTGTTTCTAAAGCTGTCTGGACAACTGTGGAATCCTGGCAGTTGCAATGAAGACACTGGGGAGTAGTCCTAGGCATTAGGCCACCCCCCAAACCTTACCTCTCCTTTGGGATAGCGGTAGCGATATTTATCTTGGTCTCGCAGTGCAAATTCTTCAGGGTAATGTTCCTGGATTTCTTCATAGGTCATCTCCTCACAGACACCCTGAGAAAAAGTATTTGGGGGCAAAAGTATTCACAAGATGAAATTCCACAGAGTCTTTGCCATAATTCTTCGATGATTGTGGAACAGTAGCACATGAGCACCTGGGTCTCTGTGAACACAGCTTTGGGTCTGTGCCTGTTATCTATAAGTGTGTATGTGTGTGTGTGTCTGTGTGTGTGTGTTTGTGTGTGTGTATAAGGTGTGCGGCTGTGTGGATGTGACAGTGAGTGTATGTGGATAGATGTGTTCAGGCTGAGTGTATGATGTTTTTCTATGATTGTACAGATAGGTCTGCAGGTGTACATTATACATATAAGTATGTATTTTTATAAAAATATGGGCATAAGAATTTGTGGCTGTGTTTACAAGTCTGTGTGGAGCATGCTTATGTACTTGTGGTATGTTTAAGGACTTATGCCTCGTGTTTGTGTATTTGTCTCAGCATATGTTGTGTGCTTGCGTGTGTGTGTGTGTGTGTGTGTGTGTGTGTGTACAGGGTGTCTAAGCATTGGAGAATGTGTCGATGTGGTCTTTCCATGCAGGTCTCAGTGTGTCTGTGGCATGTGTATCTGTTAATGTATATGTCCCTCATTATGTCTCTGGTGTATATGTGAGAGTTATCTGTGTACCTGTGTCTGAAGACCTCTACTTTGGGAACTCTGGCAGATAAACAGGCATCCACAGACATCTCAGACAGGAAAAATTAATAAATTCCTAATGGTTTCAGAGTGGATTTGGGGGAGATACACTCTCCTCACTCAAAAAAGGAATTGAGTCCTCAGAAAATGAGTTCCTAAGGTGCTTATGAGAGATTCCAAGTCTACTGAGAAACTCCCAGAGGTGAGGTGACTACTGCTGGTGGTGGAAAGTTATGTTGGGTTTCTAAGATTTCCTTTTGGGTATGTGGATTCCAATTAAATCTCCCTGTAGGGGGCCAGCGGCCTCTGGTTGTTGTCTACTGGGCCCATCTACCATGCCCCCATCAGGGGTGAGGAAGTGAACCCCTACCCCAACCCACAAACATCTCTGCAGTGTGAAACTTCTCCAACCCACACTGCCCATGGAAGAAAGTGCACCCTACTGGGTACATGAGGTCCTTCCAGATTGGCTTCAACTTTCTATTGAGGAGTACTAGGAGCCTGTTGCCTATAGAAATGGTCATTGACTCATTATTGAGTCAAATTGCTTAACCTCTCCAAATTTTACTTTCCTTGTCTGCAAAATGTGGAGAATTAGAACTACTTCATAGAAGTGTTTTGAATACTGGAAAAATGTAAATAAAATATATTAGTATAGAATATGCAAGGGACATTTTAAAGACTCAATCATTAGAATCAATTATTAATATTTTATTAATCATGGAAAATAAACCAGAAACTTAAATTCTTGCTTTATCATCATCCTAAATTCTTGCTTCTTCCTCACTCACCCCTCATAGCCAATTTCTGAGATTCCACCTCCTAAATCTCTCTCAAATCAATTCCTTTTTTCTTCCCTCTCCATTTGTACTACTACAACCTTAGCATTTCAACACATCCAATCAACCTCTTTGTTTATGAAGTTCCCTATCCCTGTCTCTCTGCCTGGAATGTCATTCTTGATCCTTTCTATTTGGTTCACTGTTACTCAAACCTGAGGCTTCAGCTAGGTATCACTTCTTCCAGGTAGATCTTGGTTGAGTTAGGTGTCCTGCCCCAATTTCTATGTACCTATAGTCTTGCCTATCACAGCCTGTATCACACATGCTGTTCTCTATTTCTCTGTTTATTCCTCTGTCTACCCTATTTAGCCTGAAAATTCAGTGAAGACAGGAATGAATTAGATCAATTTCCACCTCCAGCATCACTCTAAAACCTGAAATAAGGAGGGATTCAATAAATGTTTACACCACATGTGGACCAGAAATAAGAAGCCACCAAACTTATGATGAAGAAATTTCATATTTGTTTGCATATATTTTATAGCAAATGTATGTGGTATACAGAACAATGCTGTATAGCCCTTTTCTAACTATGTGTATTTCTGTACCTCTATATTTATATACACATATGTATGAATGTACACACACATACGTGTCTGTTTCTATAGAGGCATATCTAGCAGGCAAGTAAGTAAGTTAACCTACCCACACGCAAGTTATTTACACAAGTGGTGAAGCTTTTATGTTGATGCCTAACAATCATAACCTGTGCGCTGCTGCCCAGTGCCATTGTACCTACAGTGCAGGTGAACAATGGAGAGGAAACAGCTCCTTTCTCAAAGAGCTCATGGAAGAACCTGACCCTGAAGAGAGATTGCTATACCACCAGGGCTGGGTCCTTCATGTCTCCTTCTTCCTCATCCCTTACAGCCAGTGCACCATCAAGCCCTGCTGATTCCACCTTAAATTTTTTTTTTGAGACAGGGCCTTGCTTGTCACTCAGGCTGGAGTGCAGTGGCATGATCACAGCTCACTGCAGCCTCAACCTCCCAGGCTCAAACAATCCTCCTATCTCAGCCGCCTGAGTAGCTGAGGTCACAGGCATGCACCACCACACCCAGCCAATTTTCAAATTGTTTGTAGAGATGGGGTTTTACTATGTTGCTCAGGCTGATCTCCAACTCTAGGGCTCAAGTGATCCTCCCACCTAGGCCTCCCAAAGTGCTGGGATTACAGGCATGAGCCACTGCACTTGACCTGATTCCACCTTTGAAACATTCCCAAAGTCCTTCATTTCATCTCCAATGCCACTACTCTGGTCCAACATGCCCCCACCTCTTACCAGACTAATGCAATCAACTTCTTACTGGTCTACATGTTCATTCTGGCCTTCTTCCCACCAAGTTTCCACACATGCCCAGAGTGGGCTTTCTTTAAAAATGTGCATCACAGTCAGACTACTCCTACTTGATGTGGACCCTATCAATGGCATCTCATTGTTGTTAGGGCAGCATTTGAATCCCTCAACATGAACTATAAAGCCTAGTGGCCTGGCTTCCTTTCAAGCCTCATCTCCCTTTTCTCCAGATCTCACTATTGCTGTCCCAGCCTCTGTGCTATTCTTTCCTTCAGTTCCCTGAACTTGCCATGCTCTCTTCTTATCTCTGGGTCTTCACATGAGCTATTTTCTGTCTCTGAATTAAATTTATTTCCCCACTCCCCAGACCATTTCGCCTCCTTCTTGTCACCTCTAGCTTCCTCCAAGAAGCTTTCCTTGTAAATCTCCCACCACCAAGTTGAGTCAGGAGCACCCTCACCCTCTGATCCTCCATAATCCCTTCTACTTCTCCTCTCATAGCCCTTTGTCACACTGATATGTAATGCCCTATTTACTGTCTGTCTTTAGGATGAGGGCAGAGACTTTGTCTATTCTGGCCTTCACTGGATCCCCAAGACATAGAATAAGGTCTGGCATATGACTAGTTGTCAAAAAAGTTTGTTGAATTAATTAGGCTCCCCATAGGGGCTGGGGCAGAGGCAACCCAGGGAATAATCCCAGACTCAAGTCACCCCCTCCACACAGGAGATTCACCCCATGCATCTCACCGCATCAATCTCATTCAGGGCCTTCCACTGCTCATAGGGGACACCCAGGGCCTCAGCTGTCTGGATGGTCCTCTTCATGTGACTGGTCCACACCTTCAGGGAGCTGATGCCCTGGGACTGAATGAAGTTGGCCAGGGCATAGGCATACTAGTGCATGGGGATGCAGAGGAGGAGAGAAGGGGAAAAGGAGAGGTGAGAGAGAGCAGGGTGGCCATAAGAACAAGCTCAGATCTGCCACAAATTAAGTGGTGATGAACAAGCAGAGCAAAGAGTTTAAATGTTTCAAATTTATAAAAAGTCATACTCTCTCCCATGTGATGGTAGGCCAAAGGAATAGAAGAGAGCATGAGTGAGTGAGTGAGAGAGAGAGAGAGAGAGAGAGAGAGTGCGTGTGTGTGTGCGCGCTCATTGATGATTGCTCACCAAAGCCCCTACTTGGTTATTCATTCATTCAAACAGGCCCACCTCTAATATTTGTGGAGCCTGGGACAAGAGTACCAATGGAGGCACTCCATGCACAGTCTATCTCTCCATTTCTGGCTCTATCCTGCACTTCTATGTGCCTTTAGTATATGCTTGTGGATAACCAAGTCACACGACTGAGTTCTGTCCACATTTCCACCTCCACTGATCCCCATGCTCCACAAACAGCAACCCCTTGGTCGTGTTATATGGCCTGACCTCAGGTGGACAGACTCTGGGATAGGCCCATGTAGGCACTGAAAGCAGACTCTAGACAACAAGGGCAAAGAATTCTAGGGTTGGGGGTACCAGAGTATGGACTGGAAGTAGGGGTTGTGGCATTTGGGAGACTTTACTTTTTGACACTGTGAACACTTATCGCTTAAGCAGGGTTCCTGGTACCCAGGTTCTAAGGACATTCACACATGTATTGAGTGTTCATGGCCCTGTGCCTGGTGCTGGGGTGTTCTTGTTCTCAAGACATGGCCAGTCCAGTGAGGGAAACACTGGCAGCACTGAGGGGAACCATAAAGGGCTGCGGGAGCCCAGAGGAGCTAGTGATTTCCTCCTCTGTGTATAGGTGTGTTGTTAACCACTGATGGCATGTGTTAGGAACATCTGCACAGGTGCATAGGTCCAGGTACACATTTTTATATGCGGATATAGGTGTTTCATACATACATTTCATTATGGAAATGAGTCAGGAGTCAGCATGCTCCGGTGGAAGGAGCCCTTGACAGGGAGGTAGGAGCCGTAGGTTAAACTCCCTCAGCTCCCTTACATGGTCCCTTGTGCCGTCAGACACATCCCTGCCCCTCCCCAGCCTCATATCCAAAGAGCACCGGCTCAGCTGGCCTGCTGTCTGGGGGCCGCACTTCAGATAGTGGATGGCGAGTACCCAGACCACAGCCTGGTACACAGTGGGTGCTGCACAAGTGAGAGCTATCTCGACAGGGAGGTGCTTTGTAAACTGGGCCTGGTGCTCTGTGAGAAGCGTGAAGGTGGCATCAGCTGTGTGCATGCACACACCCACAGGTTTGTGTGCAGGGAGGCATGCCTTGTGGAGACAGCCACGTGTTCAACTGGGCTCCGAGCTGTGTGGGCAGGGCCAGGTTGGCTCCACCCAAGATGACCCTGGCTGCAGGGGCTGCCATGGGCCGGGGTCACACCTCCAGCAGCCTCTGACTCTGCTCTGAGGAGTGGGACATGAGGGAGTCACAGATTAGAGTCTACCTTGAGGGGAGGCTATCAGTCTGGAGGTAACAGAAAGGGAGACACCAGGGCGTGGCCATCCAGGGTAGTGCCTTGCCTGGGGCACCCCCCCATCTCCAGTGGGGGAGCTGAGGGCAGGTCAGTAGGCCCCGCTTTCAGCCCTGGCTCTGTCTCATCCTGGCCACCTGCCCTGGGGCTGCTCTCTGCTTCCTCATCCATAAACTGGTGGCAGGAATGCCCACCCCACAGACCTGTGGGGAAGATGAAATGAGCCACACATGCAGAAGCAGATGGCACCGTGACTGTGCATAGGTGTCCAATAAATGACAATCATGACAACAATTGTCCATCCTGCACTTCATTTCCCACCTGTTCCATCCCCAAGTGGTCCTGCCAGCAGGAACAATACCTGTGCTAACAAGCCCAGGTGCAGGACCAAATGCTGTGGAAATGGATCCCTGTATTTAGCCAGCAACCAGAACATGCAGGTCACTGTGCTGGGCTGGGGAGAAGACACTCAGGCCAGGAGAGCCACACATGGGCCAGAACTGGGAGAGCTGGAGCCCAGGGCATGGCAACCTGCCTGGGAGGGAGGAGAGGATGGGGAGGGCTTTCTGGAGCAGGTGCTGGGCCTTGGAAGGGAGTGGGGAGGGCAGGAAGGACACTGTCATGGGTGGGGACAGGGGCTGCCAGTGTGACACCTGTGTTGGGGTGAGGTGGGGAGGGCAGAATTTGGGAGAAGAGTGGTTCAAGGATGGGTCTCTCAGGGCAGCTGTCTGTGCCACTGATGGTCACCCACTGACAGAGGAGACAGAAGAGGGCAGACTAGGTGGGGGAGCTGCACCAGCAAAGGCACAAAGTTGTGAGAAAGATGATGGAACCAGTCAGGAAGGGCAAAGGGTCACTGTCATGGAGCAGCTGGCTTTGGGCAGGCCTTGGGTGCCAAGGCCAAGCTCTTAGACCTGCAGAACAGGTGGCATAGGGAACCATTCGGCAGCTGGGAAGAGACTGAGTGGCTGATGGATGGAAGAGTAGGAGTGATGGAATCTGCTTCTACCCCATCCCTGGGTCATCCCACCTCAGGACCCAGAATGTGGCCACCACTATACCTCCAGCCCACCTAGGACAGCCCAGCCAACCCATCTGGGTGTATGTGGTCCACCCTACCTGCTTGCCACGAACTGAGAGGCCAGAGTCACCTCCGATGCGGCCTCTGAGGTTGAGATCACTCTCACCATGCCGGCATAGGTAGATGGAGCGAGGTGTGACGTGGATATTCATGAGGTAGTAGACTGTGCGGCTCTGGATGTGACCCTGCACTCGGTTCACCATGTAGCGTGTGCCCACGTCGAAGATCTTGATGTAGGACAGGTGGCTGGGCCAGACCCAAGCAGGAGCAAGGGCACCTCAGGGGCCAATGGTGGTAGGGTTGACCCCGAAAGAAACCCCGAACCACACACCCTTTCAAACCTCTTCCACAACCCAGTTGTCACCTAATGTGATGCCATGCCTTGCCCTGTACTGAGTACCTGTCCTAGAGACTTGGTTATTGGCCACCCAAAGGAGCTAATTATATGCTATTTCCCCCTGTCTCCTTCCTTCAGCCTCAGCTTGAGCCAAACTGCCTTTTCACTCATCCTCTTACAAGCAGCTGGGTTCTCTCTTCTGGGGTTCACATCCCTAACATAGTCAGAGAGAAGCAGTAATCCTTTGTATCCCTGGCTAACTCTAATGTCTTACTGGCAGCTCCTGACTTGTTCACTCCCCTACCCTTTCTGATCCTGAGTTGAGCTCTTCACCCCTCTCTCTCTCTCTCTCTCTTTTTTTTTTTTTTTTTTTAGCCTCTGCTACATATTGTCCTTTATACTCAACACACAACTACCAGATTGCGTCTGTGTGCATATGTGTGTCTGTGCATGTGTGTGTCTCTCTCCTCACTCAGAAGGGGGGTTGGCCTGGGTTATTTTCCTATTTGCTATGCAGTCAACAAACATACTCCAAACATACTCTGTGTTCTAGGCATTGTGCTTGGCATGGAGGCCCAGTGTCTGTGCTTTGGGAGTTCTCTGGCCAGTCAGGAACAAATACTTGGAAACACACGATCAGTGCTCAACATTCATTCCATAAACAGTCATTCCCTCTAAAGTGTGCCAATACAGAGGTGGTCCACAACATCATTGGGGAACTTGTGGTCCTTGTCCCAAGTTCCTTACCGTAGCCTCAATTCTGTGCTCTGTCATGAACTAATACCTATACACTGAATGATATTCAAACTGTTCAACCACCTGTTTGTGTAGAAGCTGGAGGGTGGAGTGTAGGCACTGACTAATCAGAAGACTAGAAACATGGGGCAAGACTTCTGAGGCCTACACTGTACCAGGCATTAACTCGTTTAGTTGTTGGCCTGTACAGAGTTCGAAGAAATCCCTGGGAAGAGGAGTGGAAGGCTGGGGCAACGGGGTGACACCAGCAGCCCTGGTTGCATGGTAACAAAACCAAGTGAAGTTGATGGGTGCAGCACACCAACATGGCACAAGTATACGTATGTAACAAACCTGCACATTATGCACATGTACCCTAGAACTTAAAGTATAATAATAATAATAATAATAATAATAATAGAAAAAAAAAAAAAAGAAAGAAAGAGCTGCACTGCACTAACCCGAGGCAGGTAAGGTTGCCGACAGGTTTGGTTTCAGAAAGCCTCTCCCTAGATTTTCCTAGAGAAGTCCTTTATGCTGCACCACACTCCTCATGCCCACCTGTGCCCAATGGCTTCCACAGGGCACTTGTATTTGTTGAATATTTTCTGTGCATCTGGCAGGGAGTGGGAACTTTTAAGCACATGAATCATCATAATATTACTACAGAGCAGAGATTATCACCTCTGTTTTAAAGGTGAAGAAACTGAGGCATAGAGAAAGTGATTTTCCCAAGGCCACCTTCTCGGGAAGAACCCCAGAATACTCCCCCCTCCAGTAATTTCTTCTAGAACCCTCAGAGCCTAGGGGTAGAAAATATCTGATGTAAACTTGTTGCCTGGCTACTGTCTGTTCCTAACACTAGGTCCGTTGAGTCTGTAGGAGCTTCCAAATTCCTCAGCTTAGTCTGATTTTCTGGTTTTGCCTTCTCACACTGGGCCCGGCTGGCCTCACTTTATGGTCCCATGCCCATACCCATATCTTCTCTGTTTCATTCTTGTCTTCACACCTTTGCTATTACACTTGGAATACTTTCTGTATTTCTCTACTCTTGTTCAGATTTAACTAGGCACTTACAAAGTGCTATTCTCTTTGCCTGATTTCCAAAGTTGAGCTGCTATGCATTCATACCTCAAGAACCAGCATATTCACTCTTTAGGAAGCCTTTTTTGAGACCAGGATCATGTGAAGTCATTTAGAGGTGTTCCACACCAAAAATAGTAGAGTAGTTAATGCCTACCTCCATCCAAATTTTTAATTTTATTTTAAAAATTAAAAAAAAGTTTTAAATTTTTATTTAAAATAAATTTATAAACTATAGAATATGGGGAGATTCTCCCAAGTTCTGGTTTTATATTCTTCCACTTTGACTACCTTGGTGCTGTTTTTGAAATATCCAATATTATAAAAGCCTTTAAGCCAGCTGGGTGCAGTGGCTCATGCCTATAATCCCAGCACTTTGGGAGGCCAAGGCAGGCAGATCATTTGAGGTCAGGAGTTAGTGACCAGCTTGGCCAACATGGTGAAACCCTGTCTCTAATAAAAATATAAAAATTAGCTGGGTGCAGTGGCGGGCACCTGTAATCCCAGCTACTCAGGAGGCTGAGACAGGAGAATTGCTTGAACCCAGGAGGCAGAGGTTGCAGTGAGCCAAGATCATGTAACTGCACCCCAGCCTGGGTGACAGAACGGGACTCTGTCTCAAAAATAAAATAAAATAAAATAAAATAATAAATAAATAGATAAATAAATAAAAGTTTTTAAGATAGTTCTTTTTCTTAGTTTGGTAGCCCCTATCTTGCTGGTACCCTATGTGTAGTCTGCTTATTGGGTAATCAAGCTCTTTTAGACCTTCTTCCTCCAAGTTGGACTGGGTCCCATGTTTCTACAGCCCACTTGGTTTACTGTCACCAGAGTTGTGACCAACTGTGTACTCATTGTCTTCTCCAACTAACTGGACATTCTGTCAAATCAGGGACAGCCCTTTCCTCTTTTGATTCCATGTTCAGGGCTGGGACCTGATGCATAGACTGTAAATGTCTGTTGATAGAAAAATGATGACATAAAGCTGACCTTCTAGATTTGTCTTCTTCTGGCCCAAACTAATTCATCAAACAGCAACCTAGCAACCGCAGGGTCTGGGCCCAGGGCTGGGGCTTTGTCAATGCCGTTCACGCACTTACACCCTCCACTCCGGCCTTCAGGCTCCTTTCACCATATGCTGTTAGCCCACATCATTCCTTTGTGATAATTTTCAAAAGCCGTACTTTCCTCAGGGTCACACAGCCCTACTTCAGCACACATCTTGGTGAGAGAAGCAAGTGTACCCTTGACCAGGGTGCCTGTGCAATGAACAATCTGCACAACTGGGATATGGGTTTGAACAGATATTGTGCTACTGATTCGTTCATTGTGTAGCCAAAAGTAAGCCTTTGATTTGATCTGGGTCTCAGTTTCTCCATCTAAAGAGTGGGGCAATAACAGTGCTGATCTCTCGGTACTTCAATTGGGTAAGGCCACTCTTTAGATTTCTTAGAGTGGTGATGACCATTTGAAGCCTCTTTATACTTCTCACTTGGGGTCTCTTCTCATCATAACACATTTTCAAAGAGAGTAGGGTTCTGGGAACATTCTACATCTAAAACTCACATCTGCTCTCTCCTATCTTTAGTTGGTATTATGACAGAGCATTTCTTTTTTTTTTTTTTTTTTTAAATGTGTGTTCTCATATGTCAAAGCACTATAGAAGCTACCCGAGGATAGAACCCACCTCTTTTGCCCCTATTTATACCCCCTACATATACCACAGCCCAAAGGGTCCAAATACTTGTTGATTGATGAGACATGGGAATGTTGTGAAAAGAGACATGACTAGGAGACAGAACATGTAATTAGAATCCTAGCTCTACCCCTTGTGATGGGAGCTTGGGAAAGTAATTTCAGTTCTCTAAGACTCAATTTCTTTTTCTTGAAATTTTGTGATCATAAGACTTATCTCAGCCTCCTTTACAGGAGTCCTAAGGGATTAAATGTAAGGAAGAAGGTAAACATGTTTGGAAACTGAAGTGCCATTCATGTGTGAAGAACACTTTTGTAATAATAATCGCAACACCCACAGGATAGGGGCATTTGTTCTGTTCAGGAGGGGGTCCTGAACTGTTCATATTGCTCAGGAAAACACTATTTTAATCATCTTAGGAACACCTTACACGTCAAGGAATCAGAGCTGAAAGGATCCTTGAAGAAAGATAATCAAGTTCAGTTTCCTGATGTTACAGATAGAGAAGCTGAGGCTCAGAAAGGGAGGATATTCTCTCCAGGTTCTACAGGATATCAAAACTGGGCAAAAGATCTAGACCTTGACTTTGGGGTGCTGGCTCTTACCTGTCCAGTTCCTCATCCAAGGGTTGGTAGTTGACCTCATAGCACTCAATTCTCTTTAGAAAGTCTTCCAGAACCTTTTCACGGTCACAGTCTACATAATCGGGGCTGCCAAGTTTCACTTGCTGGGATCAGGGAGAACAGAGGTATCAAGGGAGACATTGTGAGACAGAGTCTTTGATGGTTTTCTTTGGAAGGTTCTTAGAGACCACTGAGTACAAGATGCCTCATTATAAAGATGAGGAAATTGAGACCTGGAGAACACATCTTGCCTAAGTTTACAAAAATCAGCCAATTGAAAAGAAGCTGGTTGTGTGACTCCTCATTCCTAATCTCAAAGAAAGCCTGTTACATTATACTTAGTCGCAGAGCATACACTGCTCATAAAAGAAGAACATTTATAAGAGGACCAGAAATTGTGATGTGAGAAATGGCTGAAGAAGTGGAACCAGAGATCTTGTCCAGGGGTCATTACAGCTTACATGTATCAAGTGTTTACCGGGAGATTATGACGTGCTGTCTTTGGATTTCTGAAGACTGGCCTCTCCTAATTCACCAATACCCACTGTCTCCTCCCACAGTCCTCATCTCAGGTACTGGCACTATCACTTACCCCATCATCTGCTCCTAAATGGAACCTGGGAGTCATCCTAGATGTCTGTCTTTCTATCATCCCTCACCTCTTAGCAGGTACCAAATCCTCTCCACTCTATCATCTCCTCTAAATATCCATTCATTCTTGCTTGTGCTCACTATAGCTGTGTGCCCAATTACTTTGTCTATATATATTTTACTTCTAATGTATTCACCATACTGGCAGCCAGAAGGGTATTTCTAATATGAATATCTGGCCAAAGTATTCTCCTGCTTAAAGCCCTTATACATTTTGTCATAACTTTTAGAAAAAAAGTGTGAATTATTTTAGCAGGCAGCTCATGGCTTGTCATGATTGGGCCCCAAATTATTTCTTCAACCTTATCTCCCATGGCTCCGCTATTCCTTCACACATTTGGCTTTAACCAATTTAAGCTACTTATAGTTCTCCGGAGATGCCATACTTAGTATATGCTTATATCCTTATTTTCCATTCTTCACGCACCAAATTCCTATGTGTTCTTCAAGGTCATTGGAAACTGAAGTGTCATTCATGTGTGAAGAACACTTTTGTAATAACAATCGCATATATCCTTATTCGTTTTAATTTTACCTCCATTAGGAAGGCTTCCCTGATTTCTGCCCCCATGCAAAGTTAGGCCCTCAGCACTGTCTTCCCAAAGCTTCCTCTGTTCCCTCATATCACCTCAGTTCTCAGAGTTCTGTACATATACTTGCCAGTCTTCCTCACTAGAATATATGCTCAAGGGAAGGACTCTCCACTATCCATATGTATGTCTCTAATGCCCAGAATGGCCAAGTCCAGGTATATAGTCAATTTCTGTTGAATTGATAGATAGATAGATGGGAGGATGAAGAGGGAAGGGAGGAAATGAACATGCTGTATGCCCCAAAAGGTTAAAAAAATTACCGATTAATAAAAATTACAAGGAGGCAGATTCTAGCTTGACTGGACCGCATTCGTTGAAAGGAATGGGCCCCTTATCATTGCAGGTATAAAAAGAAAATCTAGATATACATTTAGGTAAGACTTCAAGTATCTGTTGGAGGGTAGAAGAAAATTGCCCTTAAGGTCTCTTCTGTTCTTGAGCTCCAGTAATTTGATGAAGTGGGGAACAACAAAACGTGGTAAATGACCTAGTTCTAGACCACATGCCTAGAATCTAAGAGCAGTAGTAGTTCTGGTATGAATTTTGGGGTAGAATAAAAAATGTAGGCTTTTGAGGCAGACAGCCAAGCCTGAGGTCCAGTCCCACTTCTATCCCTTTCTGTCTGTATGAATCTTTGACAATTCATTTATCCTTTTGGAACCTCAGTTTCCTCTCTCTAACATGGAAATAATCTGTAATATGCAGTTTTGTTGTGAAAATTAATGACAGTCAAGTCTGGTATCTGGAGCATAGAAAGGGCACTATATATGTTGGCTTTGTTAAAATTAATAGAGTCATTGTAGGCCAGGATGGTTAGGGAATGCTTCCTACAAAAACTAGGAGGAGAAGATCAGGGAGGAATACTTTCTTTAATCTCATGGAGTTGCCTTAAGCATAATCTCACCTCTGCCTTAGGCATGATCTAAGCCTAAGGCACAGCAAAGTGGAAAAGTAACTGGTGGTCCTTACCCTGATGTTTTCTGCAATTACGCCAGGGTCATTACAAATGGACTCAATGAAAAACACCTGTAAAAGAAACAGAAAAGAGACTTCCAGCAGGAAATTATGTTTGATAGGAGCTGAACATAGCTTTACTCCTTTTCAGTGGTTCTAAATCATCTCCAGGGGCATCTCTGACAACATAATGCTCTCATACAGTGGTACTTTCAGGCTTCTGAGTTTCATGAGGCAGATTGGCTCTAAACTGAATGACCCCAGATTGTTGTTTTATATCTTTACTGGGTTTAGGTCTTATATAAGCTTTTTGTAGTGACTCTCTCCACTCTTTCCCCATAGCCAGCCTGTCTGCAGTCATCTTCCATTGCCTAATGTGGCACCCCTCCTTTCTTGTTCTGCTTTGCTGCTTCTGACTATATCCTGGAAAGTTAGAGAACCAAATTAAAATGTTGAGCTTATGGTTGTGGATTTGGCTGCTCTGAGTCCCCTGGTTTGCCTTTCTTTGGGGTTTGTGCTGGAGAAATAGGCTCTAAATAAGAGTTGGAGTGTTACCATACCTTGTAACCATGTTCTTTTGCAAACTGCAGGATCAGTGACCGCCGTTCTCTGGTAGTGTTGGTGGCATCAAAAACCTAGAAGCAGGTAATGAGATTGGATTACTCTGAATCTGGTGCTAACAGAACACCTACTCTTTGCCCATCCCTGTGCTAAGTGGAGGGCTTCCATATAGAGGTAAAACTTGAACAAGGTCTTGAAGGATAGGAAGGATTCATGATTGGCTTATGACAATTTCACAAGCACATAGTGGGCCCTTGTGGTGTGTCCAGAAATGTATGTTACCCTGTGAGTGTAATAAGGCAAGAGGAAATTGTGGGTGTTTATTAGGGTCATTTTATAGGTGAGGTAACTGAGGCCTAGAAGAACTTGCCTTGACCAAAGTCACTGAGAGTGGCTGACAGAGCAGAGCTAGAACTGGTTCTCTCAATTCCTAGCTGAAGCTTCTTCCTTCCTTATCACTTTAGAAGTCCTCAAGAACAAGAAACAATTCCCTAGCCTCAGTACCTGAGATTGGACCATTTGCATATTTGAGAATCTCCTCCCCTTTCAGAATTTGCAAATCCTAGCTAAACTATTGACTAGATATTTAGGTAAGTCTCTAGAACTCAAAACTGCTTGTACTGCAGTTTTAAATTCTAATATAGTCCTGCTGAATTATTGGGGGTGGACTGGTAGTGCACAGTGGTTAAGAGTGGGGATTCTGAAGCTATACAACTTGAATTCCATTTCTGGCCCTGCCAGGTATATGCTGTACCACCTTGGGAAATTATTTAATGTCTCTGTGAACCATTCTTCTGGGCTCTGAAATGGGGCATAATAACAATACCTACCTCAAGGGGGGAGCATAAAATGAAATTATTAATATATGCAAATACTCAGAACAACAGTAAATGTTCAGTACATATTAGCTAATTCCCTTCCCAGTAGATACCCAAGGAAAAAATAACAAATTTCTTTACCGCGACATGACCTTCTTCACGGCTGAGATAGTTGTGAACATCCTTCAGGGCTGCTAGGGCGCACTGCCTGAAATAGACCAGGAAAGAAAAAGAGACAACCCTTATCACCCAGGATGGATTCCTCTCTCATTGTCTGCAGTATCTTCTGCATCATCTCTCATGTCTTAGACTAACTTAAGTGCCCTGTGCTTTAGGCACCATGCTAAGCACAGAGGGGTCAAACAGTTGAAAGTGGCTGTATGTGCACAGCTTACACAGCTTAGGGGGAGGTATAAAGTGACACAATCAGGAAAAGCTGAGCAATGACAGAAGCCATAATATTAAGGCTTCCAACCCTTGAGCTAATGGAACTCAAGCTGAACTGTTTTATGAACCCAGGGAGAGCACGTGGTCTGTGAAATAAAAGGCATTCCTGGCATGGGTAACACACAGGCATGACAGTGGCAATGTATTTATGCTTTCAGCAAAAATCTCTTTAGTGATTACTCACTGCTGGGTTCTATATTGAGGGCATAAGGCCCAGGCTCTAGTCTGCCTTTACTCAGAGTCTTGCAGTGTAGAGAGACCTTGAGGTTGAACTGATGAGACTACAGAAACTAGAGTAGGCCAAGCTATTGAGATTCTTGCCTCAAATGCTAAGCTGAGAAGTTTCTACTCTCTCCTGTCAGAAGTAGAAGACCATTAAAGGTTTTTGATAAGTGGATGGTTATGACCAGAAACAGGCTTTGGGCAGGATAATGGAAGGGCTGTTCCAACTACTGTTTGAGAGTCTAGAGGGCCACCTTTCTGGTCCAGATTATTCTGCCCTACTCCCCCAGTATCTGAACAAGGGCCTTTCAGCCACGGGACAGCACAGGTTCCTAAAATATTGGGTACTTACTTCCTGATTTGCAGGGCCTCCATGTTGTCTGGAAGAAAGAATTCATAGTTCTTGTAGCTCACTGCCTCTCGTCGATACTGGCCTAAATTAAACACTGAAAGCAGGGAGCGCCAGTGAAGAGGTTGGGAAGATCCCAGTGGCCAAAAAATGTCCTTGCTGGGAGGGACCTCAGAGGTGGAAGAAGGTATAATTTGTAGCTATAAAATTGCTTTTAAAACTTCAAATTATGGCTACCAGTTTATTTATTCCTCACAACAGCCCTGCAAAGTAGAGATCACTATTACCATTTTATAAATGAGGAAACTGTAAGTTCAGAGATAGGAAAAACTTGCACAATTATTTCCTATCTGTGGATATCTGAGATTCAAACCCAGGTCTATTTGGCAACATAGCTGATGGTCTTTCCATTATTCTACTTTATCATAAACACCAATCCTTAAAATGCCCTACTCCAGTGGAAAGATGAAGAAATGGAGATCTAGGGAGTAAAATTAATCACCAAGGGTCAAACAGTGAGTGAGCTGGTGACAGATATAGACTGGACCTCCTGACTTCTAGTCCAAAGTTGTTTTATTTTTCTATATTACGATGAAGATTCCAAATCTAAATCTCTAGGCCATACTTTCCCACTTATAATGATGAAAAACTAGAGAGGAGGGAAGGAAAGGAGGAGAAAGAAGATAAGCAGCCAAAGAGTTAATATTTCATTCATTCATGTAACAAATACTTTTTGATTCCTACTCTGTGAAGCAGGATATGAGCTCTGGGTCTCAGGGATTAGCCCGATCTTCATGATGGGGCCCTTAAGGCATTTACGGTCCAACAGGTAAGACAGTGAGTAAACCAGTAAATGGAGAGCTCCCACAGAGTTTGTTAAATGCTCTGACAAAGACAATATGAAGCCATGGAAGAGAGTGAGAGGGAAGGAAAGACTAATTGTACTTGGAATGATCCGAGAAGGTTTCACCATTTGAACAAGGCTTTTTAGGGTAGGCACCGTTTACAGGCAGATATGGGCAGTGGGAGTCAGGAACAAAGGCATCCAGGTAGAGGAACAGTTTGAGCAAGAGTATGGCATTGGCAGAAGGAAGAGCACGTTTGGAGGATGGTGAGTCATCCACTATGGATTTAAACCTGCAGGCCAAGGGGACCTTTGGAGGTCACAGGCATGTTCAGCTTTGTGCTTTGAAATATAACTCTGGAGGCCTTTGAGAGAATTGAGTGGAGTGAAGAAGATAGAAAGCAGGGGAATCAGAAACCCTGAACCTATTATGGGGCCCTTAAGGCAGAAACCAATCTGCCAGTGTCCCATGTACCTCTACACTCAGCAGATTTTCCTGAGAGCTTGCAGTCCTCCATGAGAGCTGTTCCTTCTCTCCTTCCCTTCTGCCAATGTCTTATTCCTCCCACAAGACTCAGCTCAAACATATCCTATGTAGGAAGCTTTCCTTGCCTTCCAGTTGTCAAATCCCTTTGTGATTTCATGCAGCACCCTGCTCCGTTCTAGAATTCCTAGATGATATGAGGTATTCTTATACATCCCAGCTAGACTTAGAACTCCTCAAGGACAGGGTGAGTCTCATCCAGTTTTGTATCCTCATTGCCTAGCAGGAGTTTGGGCACATGGAAAACTATTGGGAAACTCTTCACCAGTGAATTAGATAAAGAGAACATAGATGAATGGAAATAAGAAATGGGAAAAAGAAACAAATTGGGGAGAGGAAGGAAGAGGGGGAGAGATAGAAGGAAGCAGGGCAGAGAGACAGGATGTTGAGATTAACAAGAGAAAGAAGGAGACAAAAAGAATGGAGAAAAGGAGACTATAGGGCTAATGTGGGATTCTTTTCTCTTCCAATCAGTAGAACCATGCACTAGACTTGGCACAGTATCAGGCTTAGAATCAAATAGACCTGGGTTCATATCCTGGTTCTGTCACTTACTGGCCATATGCCTTTAGACAAGGCACTTCACCCCTTGGGCCTCAATTTCCTCAACTATGAAATGGTGAAGAAGTGGTAATGCTAATAAAAGTAGTAATATTGGTATGGCAATAATAGTAATGGCAATAAAAATAGAATGTTACTCACAGGGTTGTTTCGAGGTCATGGAACTTCTTGAGAGAAGACATTTAATCTTAACACTAGTTTTCCTATGCTTAGCACCTAGAGTGGTGTTGGGTACAAAGTATGTGCTCAAGAAGTTATAAACTGTATAAGAATGTAGTAATAGTGATAGCAGTAGTCCTAATGCTGATAATAATAATGATGAGGCATTTCTGGTATTGAGGACTTTGGCCTTCTACTTAAGTAAGGTTTTCAGCCAGTGGCTTTTATGGGGTTGTTGAACAAAGACTTTCAGAGACATACCTTTAGTTGGTGTTCCTATCCAGTTGAGATATCGTGTGAGCTTCGTGGAGATATAAGTCTTGCCTCGAGCTGGTAAACCCACCATGATCACCATCGTGGGAGAATTGGTAAACTGGGGTATGGATGCTGAAAGACAAACAGACCCTCAAAAGCTTATCCTCAGATTCATATGCTCTTCTGGTATTAGGTCAGAAATGTAGAGTTGTAAAGAACACGTCTCCCACCATTACAATAAGAACAAAAGCTGGGAAAATGAAAATTAAGAACTTCTCTCGGACTCATCAGAAAACTGAGGTTGCAGTACCACAAACCTGTAGAAACAACCATCTTCAAGGGAGCCACAGGACCAGGCATTTGCTTACCTGGTGCAGATACCAGTGAACAACATACACACTCATAAGAAGATTTAGCTAAAAATTATGATGAATTGCTAGAGGTTGGTTATGGGCTAGTGCGAGAATGTGAAGCCTGTAGGGGCTGCAGACATAGGCAGTTTTGCACCCCTTTGCAAAGTTTTCCTCCAGGAACTCCCCCAGAAGCTGACAAGAAAGACTGAGAAGAATCCTGAGAAAGATATCCTGTAGTTCTGGCTTGGGGAGAACAGTACAATAGCCATTGTTGAAATTCTGCACAGACTATTTTCCCTATATTCTCTATGGAGCAAAAGCCTTACTATTCAGGGAAAAGGCAACAAAAACTAGCTTGAAAGTACTGGGAGAAACTCACTGCAGCTAGCAGAGCAGACTGACCAACATCACTGAAACTCTGCCCATACCAATCTACCTTATCTTCCCAAAGGGAAAAATGTCTTAGTCCTCAGAAGAAAGGGCAACAGAAACTGAGGTGCACTGGTGAAAACTCACTACAGCTGGGGGAGAAAATTGAAAAAAAAAAAAAAAGTCTAACCTGGGAGGGGCAGGAAAATGTGCTAGGCCCACCTGGGTTAGAACACAGGAGGAGAGGCAGGTACACTTGTGAAGGACACACCTCCAACACTCAGGGTAAGCCTGCCTAAGACTGAGACTTAATGAGAATAGCATAGAATGTCCCAGGTCCCCATTCCCCCACTACCAGGCTAAAAAGCATCAGTAAAAATAACAGTGGAATACATCTATACAAGATTTAAGGCATATATTATCTCCAGGGTGTAGCACAAAGGGAAGAATCAAGGCAAGGAATAAAAACAATGTCTGAAGAGAAAAGAAATCATTAGGACCAAAATAAGTTATGACACAGATGTTGGAAATATCAGACAAGGAATCTGTTTATTTACTTGGATTATTTTGCTTTCTTTTTTGTACATTACAGATTCAGGGGTTATATGTGCAGGTTTGTTACCTGGGTATATTGTGTAATGGTGGGGTTTGGGCTTCTAGTGACCCCATTACCCAAATAGCGAACACAGTACCCAATAGGTAGTTTTTCAACTCTTGCTCCCCCCTGCCCATTCCCCCTTTTGGAATTCCCTTTGTCTACTGTTTCCATCTTTATCAGATAGGAAACTTAAACTAGCTATGATTAGTATGTTAAAGGCTCTGTTGGGAAAGTTTATCATGCAAGATCAGATAGGTAATTTCGGCAGGGGGGTGAAAAGTATAAGAAAGAATCAAATATAAATGGGAGAGGAAAAAACACAGTAACAGATCTGAAGACTATCCTTGATGTGCTCATCAGTAGACTCCGCACAGCTGAGTCATCAGTGAACTTGAAGACAGGTCAATAGAGATCACACAAACTGAAATGCAAAGAGAAAAAAAAAAAAGAGCAAAAAAAAAAAAAAAAAAAAAAAAAAAAAAAAAAAAAAAAAAAAAAAAGAAAAGAAAACAGAACAAAACATCCAAGAACTGTGGGACAATATCAAACAGTATAACATATATGTATTTGGAACACAAGAAGGGGAAGAAAGAATAAGGCAGAAGAAATATGTGAAGACAATAATGGCCAAAATTTTCCAAATTAATGACTGACACCAAACCACAGATTCAAGAAGCTCAGAGAACACCAACCAGGGTAAATACCAAAACCAAACCAAAACCCACACCCAGATATAACAAATTCAAATTACAGAAAATCAAGACAAAAATAAAATCTTGAAGACTGCCAGGAAGAAGGTGGTAGGTGGGGAACATCTTACCCACAGAAGAACAAAGAGAAGAATTATACCAGACTTCTTGTCAGAAATCACATAAGCAAAAAGACAGTGGAATGAAACCTTTATAAGTGTTGAAAGAAAAAAATGCCAATCCAGAATTCCAAGTTCTGCAAAAATATCCTTCAAAAATTAAGACAAAATGCTTTTTCGGACAAAAACTGAGGAAACTCAGAATCAGCAGACCTGTCTTACAGTATAAATATTAAAGGAAATTCTTCTGACAGAGGGATATGATATAGGTCAGAAAATTGGGTGTACATAATTAAAGGAAAAGTGTTGCAAAAGTAATAAATGAAGACAAATATAACTATCATATTCTTAATTGTTCTAAAATATAACTGATTGTTTAAAGCAATAATAGTACCAATGTATTGTATGTTTATAGCATTTGTAAAAAAAAAAAATAGAATACAACAATGACACAAACAATGGAAGGAAGGAATTGGGGATAGTCTTGTACTACACATGAAGCAGTACAGTATTATTTAAAGGTGAACCAAATTATATAAAAATGTACATTACAAACTTTCCGGAAACCACTAAAAAGGTTTCCTTAAAAGATGTCTAAATAATAAATAAATACATGAGACAAAATGGGATCATACAAAATGACCAAATAAAATAATGAAAGGCAGAAAAAAGAGGGAAAAAGGAAACAAAAGCCAAATACAGTAAATAGAAAACATCAAGAACAAATATAATGAAAACAGAAAGATGGTAGATTTTAATCTAACTATATTGATAATCACTTTAAATGTGAATCAACTAAATATTCCAACTAAAGACGGAAGTGGTCAGATTAGATTAAAAAGTAGGATCCAACTACATGCCATTTACAAAACATATATAGTTGGGTCCAATTCTCAGACCTTTTATCTCTCACTAACTCAAATATAAAATTCTGATAGAATGCATGAACAACTATATAAAAATTGAAAGGTAAATCTAAGTAGGTAGATCAGAGAAGACACCAGAGTTTGAAGTACCAACTAAACAACTGCAAATTCAGCATTACTTTTCTCCCCATTCAGTATCCTGAGCCTGAATTCAACATGGTATGCAATTCAAAATGAGCATTGTCTAGCAGACAGAGATGCAGAAGTCTTGGAGTTTGGGCTCAAGGAATGTAACAGAGAACTAAAATTCAGAGAGAGTGGGGGAAATCCCTTGGGTTTTTATTTACTCCTTCTTTGGTTCCACAGTGGAGGTAGTAAAAGCGAAGGTGGCTCAGAAGCAATAGTGGCCCAGAATGGGAGCCTCCAGGAATCAAAACTGTGTGGGATAAGTTCCTTCCTCTAGGTGAAGCCACGATGTCAAGAAGACATCTTTATAGTAGTTTTCCTTCTTCCTCTCCCTCTCCCTCTCTTGTTCTCACTCTCTCCTCCTGCTACTTGTTTCTGGAAATGCTACAACCATGACAGTGGGTAGTTTTTGAAGAGAAAACAGAAAATGAGAGCCCAGGGAACTGGAAAGTACTGAAAAGATAAAGGAGAGGAAAGAGTTTTGAAAAAGCAACAGTGTAAAGTTGATTTGAACCCCTGGGCTTACCTCTGACTTGTGACTGCTTTGATATTCATTAGCATACCAAAGATTTGGAAACTCAACTAGAAAGGACACCTCCACCCAAGTCTCAGACTGACCACTAGATGGTACACATGCAGGACAGACCTATATGGTACTGCAAAAGGTTTGAAAACTGAATTGATTTTGGAACCAAAATATACAAAAGGCTAAAACAAAAATATAGACCTTCTCCACAGGATATAAACAAGATACAGAATCTCAAGACAATACTCACAATGTTCAGGATACAAACTACAATCAATGAGCATGCAAATAACCATAAACATTTCAATTAACATGGAAAAAGACAACAGACATGAATGATGAGATAAGACATTAAATTATCTTAAATTAGCTATTATAAAAATGCTTGAATGAACAATAACAAGCGATTTTGGAACAAATATTTAAAACAGAAGCACTCAGTGAAGAAACAGAAGATATAAATAAGAATCACATGGATATTTTGAACTAAAAATATAATAGCTGAAATAAAAACTCAGCAATGAAAGAGTAGATAGAAATTTCATAGGTATTACAATGACAAGAGTATGCAATAGCAATTCTAAACACATAAATTTGACAACATAGATGAAACAAATTTCTCAAAAAGCACAAACTGGCAAAACTTATCCAAAATGCAACAAATAATCTAAATAATCTAAATCCTTCTATAAATATTACTGAAATCGAATTTGCAATTAAAAATCTTCCCCCAAAATACCCAGGTCCAGACAGTCTCAATGGCAAATTTTACCATTCATTTAAAGAAGAAATAGCATCAATTCTATACAATCTCTCTATGAAGTTAGAAGACAGGGAAATACATATCAACTTACTCTGTGAGGCCAGCATTTCCCTGATATAAAAACCAGAAAAATAAGTGGTACAAAAAAGAAACTACAAATCGATATCCCTCATGAACATAAACATAAGAATCCTAAAAAAATGCAAATGAAATTTGGCTATATATAAAATAGATAATTAATATACCACAAGAAAGCATGGTTTATCCCAGGAATACAAGGCTGGTTCAACATATGAAAATGAATCAAAGCAATCCATTCTAAAGATGTAAAACTCCATGGTATGGTTTGAATGCATCCTCCAAAGTTCATGTGTTGGAACTTAATCTCCAGTGCAACAGCATTGAGAGGTGGGAACTTTAAGAGGTGATTAGGTCATGAGGGCTCTACCTCTAAGGCTTCTGCCCTCATGAATGAATTAATGGCATTATTGATGGAATGGTTTAGTTAACTCAGAAAATAGTTACTGATAGAAGGATAAGTTTGGCTCCCACACTCGCATGCACAGGCACACACATAAGCACACTCTCTCTGGCCCTTTCACCTTCCACCATGGGATGATGCAGCAAGAAGGCCCTCACCAGATGTGGCCACGTGATCTTGGA